TGACAACTCACTGCAGCTCTCAAACACATATCCTCCCATCATCCCATGAGGGTAAGGAGACACCATATCCCTGCTGGCCCAGAACTGAGCCTAGGAAGAAACTTGATGACCTGGGACAACCTGAGAGTACAGGCAACTGACCCAAAAGGACATCACAACATCTCATGACTGCTCTTGAAATAAACAGAACAAAAATGCCAAAACACTTCCAGGCCCCGAGCTGCCACCTCTTTGATATGTTCTGTGGCTGCTAACCTGCTGCAAACACTTCAGTTACAAAGCAGGTGGGCAATTCATCAGCCAGCTGCATCCTCCCAAGTGCCACTATTTCCTTTTGTCCTGCAATGAGGAGAATTTGCCAGCTCTTTTCATCTCTCTGACAAGAACACAGGACCCTCACAGCTCCATCCACAGCTCCTGGCTACCTGTTGGCCCTCAATGTGACCTGCCTGCATTTGATGGCACTTGTGTGAACTGAACACAAGGACTGTGAGGAAGCCATGCTGCTGCATTGATGTCTGAAGATGTAAAAGTCAGGCAACCTCTTCTGACCCTATTTTCCACTCCTCCCTCCTAGGGGCCAAACTTGTGATGGCAAGGCAATCCCTAACCATGAACACCTTGCATCACTTGCATCCCTCTGCTCCTACTGGGAACAGCTTCTGTCCTTAAGCACCTGACTGGCTCATTTGGGATTACAGGCACAGCATATGTTTGCTGCATCCCTGTCTGTAAGCTCTTTATGGAACCTGGCAGCATGAGGATGCAGCACACAGAGGTGGCAGGGGGCTGGAGAGAGGGGAAGGATATTGAAGTGCTGACTAGGCTGTCCTCCTGAAAGGACAATGACAACTCAGGATTATGAATATTTACAGAAGAAGAGGAGGAGAAGTCATGAAATTATTTTTTCCAGCAGGTTTTCTTCCAGAGAAGAGGCCAGCCTAACAGAACCCAGGCTGCCTCCAGCCCTCTGAACCTTCCCAGCTGGCTGAGGCACAGCAAGTTGGTGTGTACACACATCTCACTCAGCTCAATACTGCCCTGCAGAAGGCTAAGGGAGGAGGTACAAAAGTCAGAGGCTGATGAAGACACTGCTTAATACTGTATTGATTTTTCTGACCTGGCACTGACAGCTCTAAACCAAAGCCCAAAGCTGTCAGACCACTGCCAAATCTCAGCCCAGCGTTGATGACTTGTTACACTGCTGACCTGGGCTGGACCCACAGCACAAGTAAGCCTGAGAGGCTTAATGGCTCCCCTCAAAGGGTTTATCATCTGATACTTCCCTACTAGAAGGCAACCTGAAGCATTAACCAGAAACCCCAGGGGTCATGCAATAAATCTGCCTTTCCTGGGCATTCACCTTCACCTCAGTCATTGGCTGCAAGAGAATCATGGCTTGGCAAGCTTCCTGTCATAGCTGAGATCACAGAATCAATTAGGTTGGAAAAGACATCCAAGATCATCAAGTCAACTGTTAATGTAGCACTGCCAAGTCCACCCCTAAAACATGTCCCCAAGTGCCACATCTACACACCTCTTAAATACCTCCAGGGATGGTGACTCAACCACTTCGCTGGGCAGCCTGTTACAGTGCTTCAGAATCCTTTTGGTGAAGAGATTTTTCCTAATTTCTTATCAACCACTTCCCTGGCATGTGAGGCCATTTCCGCTTGTCACTTGGGAGATCAACCCCCATCTCACTACGACTTCCTTTCAGGCAGTTGTAGAAAGCAACAAGATCTCTCTTGAGCCTCCTTTTCTCCAGCCTGCTCAGATCCCACTCTTGTGCTTTCTTGCCTCAAGCAGATCAACACTCCTGCTCAGCTTGGTGTTGTCTGCAATCTGACTGAGGGAGCCCTCAATCCCCTTGTCCAGAGCACTGGTGAAGATTTTAAAGATTGGCCCCAGTACTGAGCCCTGTGGAGCACCACTGATAAATGGTGCAATTCCATCCACCTGGATGCAATTCCATTCACCAGCATCCTTGGGGTTGGTCATCCAGCAAATTTTTTACCCAGCAAAGTGAACATCCACCCAAGGCACTAGCAGCAGTTATTTGGCTTCTTGGCCTTCCCCTTATTCTGACCCATAAACACCCAACCCTATTGTCGCCATCTTTAAGGTAGATTAAATCCCTTTCCACACGTCTGATTAACCCCTGTGGAAAGATCCTTTCCCCCTTTTGAATCAGGTGTACTGTAACTATCACCAGTAGGCCTGATGTTATGTAAATTGATCCATGATCAAAATCTAAAAATTCTGCCAGTGACAGCAGGCTTGTATTGATCTGCTGTTTTTTCCCATTTCTTCATTCATCATTCCCTGCAACTGGAAGGATAGATGAGAACACTACTTGTGCTCCTGTTCCCTTAACCAGTTGTCCCAAGGCCCCAAAGTCTCTCTTGACCTCCCTTGGGTTTGTAACTTGATCGCTGCCTACTGGAAAAATCAATAATGAAAAAAATCCAAAGGCCATATCAGAGTAGAAAGCTTTCTCTCCAGATCTTTAACCCAGGCCCCAGGAAGGCAGCAGACTTCCCTAAGAAGTGTGTCCAGCCTGCATATGGGGTCTTCTATGATTTTGTTCCCTCAAAAGGGAGTGTCTTATGAGAAGGACCAAGCCTTTCACAGAGAAGCAGTTTTGATGGAAGACGGAGACTGATTTAACCTCACTGACACCTCCAAACTAGATGAACCATCACCCCTCACTATTGCTTGGCTCCACTTGCAGAGCCCTGTACCTGCTGTGCAAGGGCATCTTGAGATACAGCACAGCTGAGGCAGGACTTAGCCAGGATGGATTCCCGACAGAATCCTGTTTTCCTCATCTCAGGAAGGGGAGTCAAATATGTGAGAGCTTGTTTTGCTCCTTCTCATCTGTCTGAGCTGCACATCCCCTTGTACAGCTGTCTATCCTCCTTGCTTTTCCAGGCTGTGCACACAGATCACGTTCCTGATCTCCAGGCTATGTTTAAGATCACTTTACAACAGTCCTCAAGGGGAAAGCCAAGCACCTGCTCTGCTGAGCCTGGTCTGGAGCAGATGCAAGCAAGTTTACCTTGCTAAGCAGTCCCACAGTTTTGTTCTGCCCTCAGCCCCCTGATGTTGGGGTTTGGAAGGAAGACAGACTCTGCTGGAAGAGCAGGGGTACCAGCCCCTCCCCAGCTTTTGAGCTAGAAAAGCCCTAACCACAAGGACATCTTCTCCCCCATGAGATATCACCCCCCCATGAGAGGGTGGCAACAATTCTCCAACAGGCTAAAATACAGATCCTCCAAGCTCCCACCCTTACCTTAAGGCTGACAAGAACACCCCCTCCTCTTTAAATCACCAGTGAGCATTGCCCATGGGGTTTTTCCACTTTCTCCCCCAGCTGTAGACTCCTCTGTAAGCACAGGCATTTTGTGCAGGCACTGATGGATGCTGATTGCCGTGGATGAGAGGGTGACTGCGCATGAAGAGAACCCCAGCAAAGTTCAGTGGCTTGGAAGAGTTTTCCTCGAGGGGACAGACTAGTACAAGCACAGGATTGTCCCTGTCAGACAGCTCATTTTCCTTACCCCTGTCCAAGAGAGTGAGAGAGCACTGTCTGCCTGCATTAAGGTGGCTGCACTGCTGATAATTTGCAAACAGGCAGAGTTCACTTGGGGAAAAATGCAAAGCATGGAAGGGCAGGAGAGGAGAGACTCTATTAAAACATTTTGTCTTTTGTTAAACAAAGCTGTAAGACCTCTGGGGGAAAATCTATACCTAATTAAAAGTTTAGCAAGTCCAAGGAGATAGTCAAGGCCACAGAAACCAATTGGTGGGCGTCTGAGACTTACTCACTAGTCCTTAATATGGTATTTCACAATGTTTCTGAGAGAAGAACATGACCTAGAGCTGCACAAAGTGTCTAAGGCACTGCTTCTGGGAGGATCAGGTGAAAAGTTCTCAAGTTGTTAGTGATAGCAGCCATTGCTCCATCATGAAAAAAGACAAAAAGAAGCTCTGCAGCTATTTTGAAATAGACAATTGCAAGAAAAAACAAGCCTGCCTGAATCAGTCTTGCAATCACCAAGGCTGGTCAGCCTGAGTTTCCATGGTAAGCATTCCATTCCAGGAGCTTAAAGCAAATGGTGATGGCAGTTTTGACGGAGGGATGCAGAGAAAGCGAAAGCAGGGTGGGAGAGGCAGGAAGGAAGCCAGGGAAGCCCTTCCCACACATACAGGGCAAGCTGAGGCTGCCCAGAGGCTTGGGCAGCTGTGCTCAGGAAAACGTGTTCATTGTCAACAAAGAAAGCTGCACCAAGGACAGACTCTCCTGCACTATCAACTACTTATTGAAAGAGCCCCTGCCCTCCTGAGCCCGTTGTTCAGGCCTAGAGGTGGCACTGGCTCTGGAAAGGTTTGGGGAATGCTGTGTCTCCTGCAGCAAGCACCACAAAGCAAAGCCCAACAGGAGGGCTGGTAACGCAACTCAGCTGAAGGGAGACAAAGCTGCTACTCGTACAACCAAAGAGTCACTTAGCTAGGAAAAGACTTTTAAGATCATCAAGGTCAGCTGTTTACCCAGCTCTGCCAAATTCACCACAGCTACACATCTTTTAAATCTGCTCAGCACCTCCAGCCCCAAGCCCAGGGCACACAAGATCACAAATGCAGCTCAACAAATACAGAAGAGTAGCTAAAGGGTTTTACTGTGGTCCCCAGTAGCCCCAGAATCCACTTCTAAACCCCTCCAAGGCCAGCAGCAAAGACGCACACCAAGGATCAGCTCCCCCACCCCACTAAAACAGTCCCATGGCCTGGTTATGCACACACACTGCTGGGAAGAGGAAAACCAACCCAATTTGCTCTGCTGCTTGGGCACCCATCCCTGAGTTATTGAAAAATGACCATCACTGGTGCAACAGAGCCTTTCAGTGCCAGCAGTAGCAGCAGGCAGACACAGCACAGGGGACAGAGATTGCCAGCTCCCCTCAGCCCCCGCAGCACAGGCAGACACACAAACTTACCTTTCACTCCTTCCTTCACAAACTGTCTTATCGCCATAGCAACTGTAATCCTAGGTCATGCAGCTAGGAAAAAGCATAAATATAGCACAAATGAAGACACACACTATCGCCAAACACAGCCTCAGTGGTAGAATCTAATTTTCATTAGAGGCATAACAGTGGTTTTGCATAATTATACATATATTAATGCCCAACATGCCCATCTTCAGTGGGAGTTCATTAATTCAGTTCTAAATAAAAAGGATTGCTCATTATAGGTTAATATTTTTTTTATTTTAAAGCAGAAAATATTTCTAAAAGCTCAAATCATACTTTCACAGCTTTTCCTTAATCCTGAGATTAACAGAGAAAGGAAAACACAAAGATTAAGTTGGCTCTGAAGTAAAAACATGGAAAAACACATAACAGCAAACTTTGCTGCTTTTGAAATGTGAGGAGTGAGAGCAAGCAATAAAAAAATTTGACAGATGTTGCACTGTACCTGGAATTGAGTCCCAAAGGAAAGCATCTGACAGCCTTTGGTGCTTGTGGTGAAAGCAATACAGCAGCATCACACTGAGAAGAACACACCACTGCAACCCAACACAGGTTTGGCTGGCACCAGAATTTACTACACAGCTTGAGGTCAGCACTTACAAGAGGAGGCTTATTTGCTCTGATGACACAGATACAGGATAGCAGCACCAAAGGATAGCCCAGCCAAGCACACTGTAAGGCAGAGAAACCCTTCCTCTACATCTTTCCTTCTTTAATTTACATCTCGGGTTCCTTCACTACCTACTAAACACAAACACCTTGAAGCTGGTAGCTCAGACCCTCTTTATTACTGTTTCCAGGTGGGCCTTGTCTGAGTGATGAGGAGCCCTTGGTGCTGGTCTGACTCCACCTTTCCTGTGTGTGGGGCGTGCCTGGGGGTGGTTACTGTCACTTCAGGTGACAGGTGCCTGGGTATGTGAGTGCTCTGGGACTTCACAGTGAGCTCTTTTACTGCAAGCCTGCATGTGGCCCTGAGGATGCTCCCAAAGTCCTGACCTGGTGCATGCTGGACTAAATAATAAAATAAAAACAGCATCCCAAATAGAAGTCTCTTCACTAACTTCATCAACACTCTAGCCAGGGAGGCAAGGGAGAATCTACTATTTGGTTTTGTCTCCACAAAGGCTTATTTAATTCCTCACTTACTGAAAATGCAAGGAGATCTAGGACAAAGAGAAGAGGAGGTCTGGGCTGGGCTGGAGGAAAGGGTTTGGAGGAAGAAAAAAGGGGGAAGTGCTGAATAAATGGAAAGACAAGAAGAGATGGAGAGAGGTCTGTCCTAAACAGTGACAAAAATCTCTCGTGGCTGTCAATCTCCAGTTCCTCTCCTCCTTGTGTTGCATTAGTACACAGCTCAAAGCTCAGCCAGTGTGAAGGAGAAAACTTCCTTCTCACCCAAGCTTCTGCAGGAGGGAGAGGGAACTCACTGCCTATCTATCTGTCCAAGCCGGGGTCTTGACTGTTCTTCCCTGTGCTGTAGTGAGCCCTCCCTGACATGGATTTTGGGATGTGCAGCAGGTCCAAATGTGGCCCCTTCACACTGTGAGGATGTCCTGCCCCTGTCCTGGAGGTACCCGAGCCCTGGAAGCCCACCTATCCACGATGAAAATAGAAATAGCAGCTTGCTTCAGATGCTGCTGGTCAAAACCAGATTTTTTTTTATACAATGAACATGCATCTCTGACACACTTGTGCCTACTGTGTCTGTTTCAAATGCTGCTAGTCAAAACAGATTTATTTTTTTTATACAATGAACATGCATCTCTGACACACTTGTGCCTACTGTGTCTGTCCTCCCCTCTTGAGTCCCAGCCTAGACAGAAGAGGAGCTTCTTAGAGAGGTCAGATGGGGCCTGGCAGAGGGTTCTGCTGGGCATGAGCTGTGAGCTCAGTGGAGGAAAGAATCCACCTTCTCCCTGTGAAGCTGTGCTGTAGGTATGGGGGGGCTGTTTGCCCAGGATTGCCACTGACTACAAAGGCTACCCAGCCTTCTGCCTCAACAGAGAGCAGGGGCAGTGTCAAAACCTCCAGAAAAACAGGGTCAGTGTTCAAATGTCTGTGATAAAGTTTACCTGTGGGAGCAGGACAGGCATTGAGATATGTTGGCTAATCCAGAGAAAAGATTCAAAATCTTCTCTGAACTGGAGAAGAGAACAAAACCAGCCACTCCTCTGATTTTCCTGTTGTCTGCAATTACCACCTCTGGCTGCCAGAAATAATAGGTAGGCCCTGGGATGGGGAAATGAGAGAGACAGGGACTTGCTCTATCCCTGGAATTATTCAAGGCCAGATTGGACAGGGCTTTGAACAACCTGGTCTAAGTGGAAGGAGTCCCCACCCATGTAGGAAGGAATTGGGATACATTGAAGGAGGAGATGAAATGTGACTTAGGAAGCTTGTGGAGACAAGCTTGTAGAGTCCCAGAAATATTGTTATCCCCTGCTTCCCTCCCAGTGGCTCCTGCAGTTTTAATACAAGTTTGGTCTCTCCTTAGATGTTCCTTTCCTGCAGATATCCCTGCACATACAAATCCCTTGACATGGGCAACCAAGCCCCAGTGTCCCTCCCCACTTGACCTCTCGGGGCTTTTTATCCATGTTACCTGCTGTGACTCCATAGTGCTGCGGCAGCAGCAGGGAGAGGTACAGCTCTGCTGGGACACCCGCCAGGGTGGTCCCCTCCCTCAAACATGGTCACTGAGCCACACTGAGGAAAAGCAAAGCAGTGAGGATTCAAGGGACACAGTCCCTGGTCCCCTTTGGAGGGACATTTAAGCCAGCTGAAGAGGCAGAGGGGATGTGTGAGCAAATCCAGCAGGATGAGCTTTATGATTTAGGCAAACAGTGTAAATGCTTAAGTACTTACATCTAATACTGTTCCTGGCACTCTCACAAATGGACTCTCCTGCCCAGCCATGCACAGCAGTCTCAGATGCCATCTCACAGCAGGGACCTATGGAATTCCATCCTTCTGCCTACAGGCACACCTGGAAATCTTGCATGTGCAGTGTGGCCCTCTCCTCCTGCCCTGCCTCCCCACCAGAGGGGACAGGCAAGTGATGCTCAGCCTGTCTCACAGCAGCTGGGGATCTCTGTGCCACGTGCATGGCACCTTGGAGGGCGGTATCACGGGCTATAAACATGAACCAGGGGAGCAGGTGATTTGTTCCAGTGTTTTGCTGAAGTCAAGCAGCAATTCCTGACCAGACAGAGAAATGGAAGGTGTGGCAAACCAGCTCTTCCTGGTCCAGTGTTGAGCTGAAGCTGATGCATGTTCATACCATACCCCTCATGGGCTGTCACGTGTTCCCACAGCAGCAGCAAGGCAATCACATTCCTCCTCTCTCGTGCACACTGATTAAAATCATGCTCATCACAAGTGCCTCAGCTTGAGCACCCAGCCCTTTAATTGCTGCAATGAAGGATATGAATGTAGGCTATTCTGAGGCCAGCAAAGCAGAAAATTAGCATTTAGCATGAAAATGATACCACTGCATTATCACCAGTGCAAAGCAAACAACACAACCAGCCAGGCTGCTTCTGTCCCTCCCTACCTGCGTGCTTGGACTCATCCAGTGCTGCAACAGCCCCACTGCTTTCCACACACGTGGGGCCTGTCCCTCTGAGGCTGCCACCAGGAGACAGGCAGGGGCTGCAAGGTGGCATCTGCTTGCTGACTCTGAGCTTTTGATGAAGCAGGTTTATAAACTCCTGGTGAAATAATCCTCCCTCAGATGTCAAAATGCCACATTAGCTGCTGCGCTGATTCCTGTGGTATTTACAGAGCAGAAGAATGCAGCAGCAGCAAGCGGGGGTGAGGCTGGAGGGAAGAAACCGGCACCCCTGGTGTGTCCTGTCCCTCAAGGTCAATCATCTATATGAAGCCAGGGGTCAGATCTTCTTCTGCAGACCCTTAGCTCTCTCCGTCATTACTGCAAATTCCCCTCAGGCCCTCTCCCCCCTTTGTTACCTAGGCTGGTTGGACACAAATAAACATTAAAATGCTGTGTCCACAGAAGCCTAAAAGGAAAGTCTGTTTTTTTACCAGTCAGGTTGGGATGGAGCCATCATCTGCTAGACAATAACTAATCTTCCAAATCTGTGAGCAGCGCAAGGGTGACTGCCACGCTTTCCCACCCCAGCCAGGGCTCTGCACGCTGGTGGTTTCTACCACAGGGAGAACTGCCATTTCCCTGGCCTCCCAGTGTAGGTGCCTGAACATCCTTGCCCAAAAGGGAGAGTATTTCAACATGTTTCCACATGGATCTGTGACCTCTTTGTGCTGAGCAAATCGATGGTGCTGAAGTGCCAGAGTTTCAGCTCTGATTAGCAGATGCAGTAACAATTTACACAGCATGAGGAGGGTCCTGCTGGTCCCCAGCACTGCACGTGCACACACACAAACACACATACAGACAAACACAAACACACACGTGGTGGCTCCCACAGCCCCAGGTCCCCTCATGCCCCACCACTGATCAGCTCAGCTCCCTGCCAACCCAGTGCCCCTCTTTCCCCTGCCCACTGAGGCAGGCTGGACCAGCACAGGTTGCAGCCCAGCTGTGCCCAGCCCACTTGGAGGCTGTCCCTTGTCCCAAGCCCACGGTACACAGCTGGACATGGGGCTCACTGCCCCGGGGCAAGCAGAGACCTTTGCAGCTCCTTACAGACAGTGCTGCCCAGACATTGCCTGTCTCAGTGCTGTGGGCTCTGCTGGTGAGCAGCGTCCCAAGTCAGCAGTTTGGGCTGCTTTAATATATCCTTGAAAAAAGAGACCAGTGGGAGATCTGTTTATAAGCCACAACCACCCTGAAACAAGTATATGCCTACACCCACGCACATACACAAAGCAGCAGTGACTATGGAAGCATATGAATAAATATTGAGCAGACACCAAGGGATTTTCAGAATAGTCTCTCTGGTTTTTTTATTCAATGCCATGTTGTTTGTTGTTGGCTGCCTTTTTTTTACCTTCCTGATTTATTTCCTCTGCCTGGGCTTACAATAACAGCTGAAACTAATCAGTGGCCAATGATGATTAACAGTCTCACATGTTATTAACTCTACATTCAGGGTAAGGTAATTTGAAAGAAATTACCAAAAAATATTAGTGTACAGGGAGGACGGTGTAGTTGTATGTATGTAGAGGGATTATACACACAAAAGCTGATCTTTTATCCACACCACCCCATTTACACTGCACTCAGCTCTTCTTTTTTGAAATATCTATTATTAACTAGAATATGTGTGTAGATCATCTTGAAATGAACCCTTCATATGATTCAGATAAGGAGGCGAGAAAAGAAGTCTGTAAGTGAAAAAATAAATTAAATGTGTTGGTGAAGAAATTGAGAGGAGAAATGGGATCACCCACTTTCATTGTTATCCCAGTGATTATTAGATGCAGCTAAGGATGACAGTGGCAGTTTTAGAGGAAAGTCCACCTGGTGCTTTATCTCCAAAGCTGTGATAGCTCAAAGCAAGCCTTATACCAAGGACTTGCGGGGTAATAAAAATGCTTGCCTGTGCAAGGACCATGTACCTTGAGTTCTTGCATGATGTTTCCCTTCCTTGTGTGTGGGTGGCTCTCTCCTAAACAGGCACTTTTCAATTTAAGAGCACTGGATTAAAGATGTTTCGCTAAAAAATAGTTTCTCCTCAGACTGGCATCCACAGAGCCCACAGGATCACTGATCATTTGTTTTGAAGCAGCATCTTAGCCTC